GTTTATTATGTTAATTAGCTATTATAACTATAGAAATGTAAATATGAAATTGTGAATTGATTGTTTTATAGGTTCTTATGCATGATTTAGCATTATAAATGGCTTTAGCACGAAATTGAAATTGTGAAGTAAAAATTGATGATTTCTAGCTTTGTTTGATATATATATATATATATATATGGGGTAAATTGTGGAAAAGCAATGAATTATGTGACAAGCATGACCATAGGGGGTGGGAGTTCACCCAGGGTATGTATGGATATGTGTATGTAGAGATGTGAGTGAATAAATCCATATAATCGGGCTGGCACCATAGGACATCTAGTGCAGCATATTATAGGCTAGTACCATGGGTAATCTGGTACAGCATATTGTAGGACTATTACTATGGGATATCCAAGCAGTCTGGTAACTCCCTAGTACTTCTTAGGGTATGATCTAGAGTCAACAACACCTTTATCACAAGTTTGTGACATGAAGGGAAACCATAGTCTGTAAGTAGGATGGATTACTTTTGTCCAAGTCTTTCTACTATTGAAAGTGTGCTCGAATTAATGAGTGATTGATCTAGTAGAGCCTATGGTTTCGTGTAGGGGAGCTTTAGAGGATTGGTGGATAAATGATCATGTTGTTCTGATTGTGTGAAATGATTTGTGATAGAAAGAAAAATTATTTTATTTTGACTAAATTAAATTATTGAAATGGTTTTTAGTTACTTTCATGTGGTTATCTGCGTTAGTGTACATATATGAGCTATATTAGTTACTGAGATTTTAATCTCACCCATGGTTATTTACATTTTTTAGGTTTCTAGTACTAGTGGTGCGAAGGGAAAGGATTTGGGCTAGGGATAGAGAGTCCTCTATGAAGCCCATTGAAATATAATGTATTGAATTTGAGTAAATAGTAATGGTTATGTATATAAGCTGCTGTAAGAAACAATACTTGTGCATAATTTGTGAATGCTTATATGTGTGTGTGTGATTTTTGAATACTAGCCCATTGAACTGTGTATATGTGTACATGCAATGAAAGGATAGTATGGGCTAGTGGATGGATGATATGTGAGTGGAATTGGCTATGTGTATAAATTGAATCAAAGAAATGTGATTTCACCCAAGTTTTGTGTAATGGATAGTTTATAGGCCAATTGTGTGTATGCATGTTATATTGTGTATATTACTAGTCAATCAAGTGTACATTGTCTAATTGGATGTAGTCAAGGCCCTTAAGTTGGCCAATAACGTGTGGTTTCAATTGGTGATACTCAAATGGCAAATTTTGGCACAAAATGGTCAAAATACACTTGAGTGTCCAATTTTCAAATGGAGTATCAGATTGAAATGAAATTAGTGTCATAGGTTAGATTTTGAAATAAGCTTCATATGGGTGCTTAAATCACCCCAATTGGACGTCAAATAAGAAAACCACACACCTTCAAAGTTCATATCAGAATCTAAAATTTGATAGCAGATTCTGATATGTGCACCACAGCACGTGTGTCAACGAAGGACAACATGCTGTGGCGCACAACACAGAGAGTGACACTAGGGTCTCTGTACGACATGTTGTGGCACATATGGCATGAGCCACGGCACGTGGCCCCTATTTTGATTTAATTTGATTGAATTGCATATGTTTTCTAGTTGATTTTGAAGTGCAATTTCGTAATGCTTCCACTGCGTAATATTTTACAACTCGTATATATATTATTAAATGATTTTAGAAACGTTTTTTTACATTGAGATCCTAAAGTTTTCAAGTTAATTATTTTGATTAGTAGTTTACGTGGAGGGTTGTATGGTAATATTGTTGAGGGCATTACAAATAGTTGGTATCAGTTTCTCAAGTTTCAAGATCTGGTTACTATGATTGTTTCTTGCATTCATCCTAGACCTTGGCTGGTGAGGCAAAGTATATTTGTGATTCCCAATCATGTGGTGAGGTGGAGCACCATATGTGAGAGTTGAATGGTCAAAAGTGGAACAAATCTATATGTATATGTGATTGTTTGTGTATTCCTTATATAAGCCCACAATTGTGTAATGTGGCATTGAGAAGTCAAAATGGACAATTGATGTGATATATGTGATTAGAAGTTTCAATCAGGTATATATGGTCCTTTTAAACTTAGTTCAAGGCTCGAAGTGGTTAATGGGGCAAGAAATGAGAATTAAGCATTTGGGATGTAAGTTCTGAAAGAAAAAGTAGCCTTTTGCACTTGAGTATCTAATTTTAGATCAGATAGTCGAATCGAATCCAAACTTATCTCATTAAATAGAATACATTATAAGTTTTGTTTGGGTGCTTGAATCACTTCAATTGGACATCAGATATGGAAATGACACGCAACAGAAGTTTGTCTTCTGAGCTATCATATGCACCACGGCGCATGGCACCAAAGAAGAACAGAGCACATTGCTCTATATTGCATGGCACTTTTTAAGGGAAAATGTGGTGTTTCATTAAGTCATAGATTTGTGTTTACGCTTCCAGTAGCCCTCTTATTAACATATGTTTAACAAAGTCAAGATCCCACATTTCAAAAACAATTCAAGGGCTATTACTCTGATATTATGTCATTGTTGTTTAATGATTGTGGATTTGAAAATAGTAAAGTTCGGATTAAGTAGGGACTTTACAATTAAAGGAGATAAGTTAGAGGAAAGCACAACAACAAGTATAAAGGATTGTAAATGATCATAGTCCAAGTCTGATGGTCTAAAGGATCTATAATAGGTATAAATCACTCACATCTAACTTCTCCCCTTTTTGTCTTGCAACCTAGTGCCCTTCTCCTTATTGATTTCCATATCAGTAGCTCCAACCCCTTTCTCTTGTTAAACACCCTTAACATCCAGTGGTTTAGATGAGGTGGAAGATAAAGGTTCAGGATTTTTAGAGAAAGGTTTAGAAGGTTTATGGGTTTTGGTTTTGGGTTGGCTCTTCTTCCTCATAAAAGTGTTTGGTCCTATTGAGTGGAAGCCTCAACCAGGCCCTTTGTGAGTTGTTAGTACTTAAGTTTGATGCTTTGTTGGATTTTGGTAAAGATGGGAGTTTAGGTTTAGGAGGGCTATCGAATAGGTGGATCACAATTTCTATTTTTAATTGAGGTTTGGTTTGGTGTTTAGTTTGCTGAGTTTCTAGTTGACTTTCAACTTGTTTTTCTTATTGATGAGGTGAGGTAGGTGGAGTAGGAAGGTTCAATGGTGATTGTCTAAAAGGAGAGGAGGTAGGTGAGCCAAGGCTTAGTCTGGTCTTGGCTTTAGGTAGTCCAGCAGGAGTTTAGGTGGAGGTTGAGGATGTTAGCACTTGCATTAAAGCCTCTTTTCTTGGCTAAGATGGACCAGATTTAGTCTCTGCATCTTCAATCTTCAAACGCTTCATGATTTTATCCACCTTAGCACTTAACTTTTCTTGCCTATCATGAAGCGCCAATCCCAGAGATATTCTCAGGATATTCTCATTCATGCAGTGCACATCTTCCATTGTAGACTCATGAGTACCTTTGCAAGGAACTCATTTGTAATTAGTTGTGTGTAGTTAGGCATTGGTATATCATTGGTATTGTTAAAATCCCAATTACAAATCATGGCCCTTGCTTGAAAATCTTTATAGCGTTAATTGAGAATTTTCAAAATTTCGCTATGAATCTTAAACCAATCAACAAAAAATAATTTATTACAAGTAAGGACCATGATCTGTTATTAAAATTTCAATAATTCAGGATCTGTAATTGTCATTAATCTTCTTATGGAGTTCCTAATTATCATTTTTCTTGTTGAAAAAAGTTATTTGTAAAGATAATTTGGGGCATGTGGAATTAAATCTTTTTTACTATGAAATTAGTTGATAAGGTATATTGTAACTATTCTCATACCATCCTAGCGAAATTATATGTTGATTCTTATACATGTATATGCATAATGTTGTATTATATGTTGGCCAAAATAAATCTCTTGTAGCATATGCTGATGTGTTTCATTTCATTTTCTTTTATAGCATTTTCAAGACAGGGAGGAACACTCGAAATAGAAGTAGAAGCAAGATGGAATAGATGTCTTGCAAGTTTAACAAAAAGCAACTTAGAAATGATTTGATGGTAAAAATGGATTTCAAGCCATACCACAATTGTCAACTTTTAGGTATTTGCAATCGATAAGTATAAATGATGAAAATATTACAGATAGAATACACGTTAGATTATTAAAATGAATTATCAAAAATTACTTGTGATGGCAAAGTTACCTACTAGATCTTAAAAAAAATCAAAACACTTTTAGATCAACAGGCAATAATATTATAAGGTAGTGATTATTGGCTGTTGAAAGGCTGGAAAAAAAGAGTGGAAGATAGTAGAAGAGAATGGTGGCATAGATGATAGATGTGTGGTCATTAAAAAAGAAAAAATGTGATTGTTAAAAGAAAAAAGTTGGGATGACATCCATTAATGAGATGATAAATTAAAAACATTCATTCAAGGTCATTCAAAACGAATGTAGACAGATGCACCCATGACGGTTGACTACACAATCATAGGATGCCAAGAATGACATTGAGAAAAGCTATTAATTGCGACAAATTGGTAAAAGAACAAATTAGTTTAGAATTAAGTTTTTTTTTTTCCCCTAAGGAGCTTTTGATACGCTCAAGTCAATAATGATATAAAGATATCCATTAACTTGAAAATAAAAACTGGCCAAAACTTCATGGACAACATCAAGCTATTTGAACATATTTGAGAAGGTTGACCTCTCATAAAATTTAAAGATAGCAAAAGCTTCTTAACCCTTTGGTTAATAATCTGCGGATTTTTACAGCATTCCAATGGATACGGTTTCGCTACTGGCCTCATCACACTGAGGTATATATTTGTTGTCAAGGATGGGTTTAAAGGATTGCATTGCTTAGAATACCATGCCCATGCATACGGGTTTTAATTAAATAGTAAAATATAATGGCATGCATGAGGGAGGGCTACAACACGACTTAGTCTGCTGTAAAAACTGAACAAAAATTTCAATAATCCAGTAGCTACAGACATGACATTGATCCGGGGATGAGAATTGACAACGACGACCAATAATGATTGAAACTTTTTGCAAGGTCTAACATTATGGGGTTAACCTTTGTTGATATTTAGAACTAACAACGATCAAGTCATATGGCACGAGAATAAATCATAAGCTGTGGGTGTCGCTTAAATCCCTGCCTAGTTGATTCTAGATGTGTCCATTAGAAAATAGGAACAAAGTTTGTCTAGGGCTTAATTATAGAAGGAATGCACGACCACTTCCCCATAATGACTTTATTACCTAAAGTACAGTAAACGATAAACAGATCCTGGCGCTAGCTAACAATTATTTAGCATTTTTAACCTCCTTGAGAATTCTTACTCGACTGAGAATAGTGCTTTTGAGAATCAAACTCAGGAAACCAATGCGGGCCAACTTTTTCCGGGGGTAGGATTGTGGAGGAGCTCATTGATGATTGCTGACCTGGCATGGACTTCACATTGTAATGAAACGAAATATCACCCCGAGATAAGCTGGGAGGTCCAAAATCAGGCAACATTGGGCTAGCATCCTTCTGCCCACAACAGTTGTTAGCAGGTTCCTGGAAGCATCCTTGAATTGATAAGTTTTCCTCTACAGGTATTGCACCTGTGAGAGTCTTATATGCAAATTCTAGACATGGGTCCGACCAAGAATCCACAAGTGGAGAAGAAAACTGCAAGTCAGACTTATGCTGCCTTTCAATTCGAGTTTCAAGTTGTGGCTGCTTGGCCGGACCAGATTCTTGCCCGAGAACCTTGCTAATATTATAGGATGACTCTTCGAGTTTTGATGCATCTACATTTCTAGATTGATGCGCAATTTGAAATTCATTTCCAGCTCCAATATTCAGGGATGCTCTTTCATCCAAATTAGTGGTTATATTGGCTTCATCACCATGGCATTCTTTTGCAAAAAAATTAGTCGTATTTTCACAAGATGTCGAACTGGTTCTCAGCTCAGCATGCCCTAGAAGATCCTTTGAAGGCTGGCAGACCATTTCACAAGATATAGAGTTGATCAATAACTCAGGTTGACCCAGGAATTCTTTTGAAGGTTGGAAAATCTCATTAATATCTGCACGCTTCTGTGATTGGTTCAAAGTCCAAGTTATCTTGGCATCATCACCATAAGATTCTATAGAAGCAAATTTAGGAGCATGTTGACAGGATGTGGAGCTGATAAATGACTCAGGTTGATCTGGGAGTTGTTTTGAAAGTTGGCAAACCTTATTAATATCTTCGTTATTCTGTGATTGTTTCATGTTATCAAGAGCTTCTTCATTAATGCAGTTCTCTACCACACTCTCAAGCAATCCTGTATTTGGTGGACAATTAAGATCAGGAGTTATGACAGGCAAAATTTCCTCAGCACCATCCACTGGCAATGCACCTGTGAGAGTCTTGACTGCAAATTCAAAGCATGTATCTGACCAAGAGTCCCCAAACGGTAAGGATAGCTCCGTCTCAGACCCCTCCTGGACTTTTTCAGCTTCAACCTTCTGTAACTGTTCACGGGGATCAATTTGAACTTCATTTGAATTCTCATTCTTGTTTGATGACTCTCCATGTGCTCTACTTTCGGGACATGTGGAGGCTTGAAGATCAAGCTGTGTCTCTTCCCCAAAATCAATATGCTTCAATGCTCCATTGCCTGAAGTTGCAGTAGCAGTTAGTTCATCTTTGCATGACTTTTTAGATGATGCATATTCAAGAGCTCTATCAGAAGGTGCTGTTTCAGGTTCATGGCCAGCAAGTCGCTTTGATAACCTGCGAGGCAAAGTAGGCTCTTTCTTACTCTTGGATTTCTTTGGAGTAACTTGTCGATTTTTGTCATTGCAGCCTTTAATAAAAATCTTGGACAATTTAGTTTTATCATCCGCATCTGCTTCAGGAACCAAAACAGGCCTCTGACATTCCGTAGTATTCTTGGGCAATTTAGTTTTATCAACGTAATCTGTTTCAGGAACCAAAACAGGCCCCTGACCTTCTGTAACATTCTTGGACAACTTAGTTTTATCAACATCATCTGTTTCAGGAACAAAAACAGGCTCCTTGTGAACTGAATCCTCAACTGGTAATGCACCAGTGAGGGTTTGAATCGCAAATTCCACAGATGGATCAGACCAAGAATAGTGAAATGCGAAGGATAGTTGAGGTTCTGACTTCTCATCATCCAACTGTTTCTCTCCAAGTTTCTCTTGTTCACAAGTTCTGGGTCGGACTTTACGTGAACTTTTGCTCCTCCCTGATGACTCTCCAACTCTTGGCACATTAATAGAGGTAGAAGCATGATATGCGGGCTCCTTAGATGGAATACTGCCAATTTGATGTGATTCTGCATTGGCCCCAACTTTAGACTTTTTAGCCTTGTATTCAGGAGGTTTGTCACATAACATGGAGCCAGTAATATCAGGTTCATATCCAGCTAGTCGTTTTGAAGCTCGATAAGGAATGTGATGAACTTTCTCGTTACTTGATTTGTTACCTGATTTTCTAATTTCACCTGCATTCAGTTTGTTTTCTATTAGGAGATTATCCATAATTGGTAAGTCACCTGTTGGCTTTGTTGTACCATTCAAGTTTGGGGAGCTATAATCATTTGATAGAGAATTGTGATTTGATTGCTCTCTGAAATCTCTTTGGTCCTCAGAAATTCTGTTGCTTTTGTTTTGTAACTCACCTGGTATATCACGCGTGTGCTCAATTTTTAGGACAGCATTGAGTTGTTGAGACAATACATTTGCTGAATCAATATCTCGAGCAGTTCTACCTTTCCTCAAGCTCCTCTTTGGAACAAAAAGAGACTGTTCATGGACGATGATATCAGACTCAGACACCTGGTCAGGTTCAGCTCCAGCAAGTCGTCTTGAAAATCTGTGAGGCACACTTAATCCTTTCTTGTTGGATATGCCAGGGCTTCTGTGTTTCTTTTCATCAGCATTCTTCAATGCACCTGGAACATAATTTTTTTCTCGCACATCAGCTGCCGGAGATAAGTAAATGTTCAGCTTCAGAATCATAGGATACAATTTTTAACAGCGGTGAGGTACCTGGATCAGATGTTCTATTCATTTCTGGAGCGTTTGCAGCTGCATCCTCAAGTGAATGCATTTTCACAACAGCTTCAACAGTCTTCACATTATGCCCTTTTACTGAACTGTTGGTATCAGACAATTCTGTGCTTTTTTTTTTAGATATCTTTCTGCCTGGAAAAAAAAAATATGTTAGGAATAAGCTACAGGCATAAAAGGCATATTCTGAGTTTCGATAAACTTGTGATACAATTGATCAATGAAGACCAATATTGTCACCATGATGTACCTAGAAAAAGCTGCCGTTTGGTTGCAGGCTGCTTTAATTTCTGTCTTTTAGCTTTAGATGACGGCTGAAGAGGACAAAGCAAAAGTGAAAATTTTAAATTATTCTTACTCAAATACTCACATGCAAAGTTGACCTCTTTGTTTTGATTGATTGCAGGATAGAAATCATACAATACACTTGGATTTTAGACTATCAATGCCAAGGAATGTGTGTACTAGACATGTGAGGTAAAATAGTATTTGAGGAACAGAAGATATCGTAGGCTGATACTAGGGGTGAGACAAGGTTTTCAATAAATGGAACAAACTTAAATACTCTTGAATATAATACTCTTAAGAAATCACCAACATAAAATTAATTTTTCTATTAAATGAGAAAAAAGCACATACTTAACAGATTAGCTGAAAGATCATCCACTGAAGACCAGTACATGTTAGGTTTAGAAGCTAAAATTCAAATAACAGTTCCAAAACTAATTTATATGTCGTTTAAAAACGTCTCAAGATATTGCTGATGTGATTGAATGATATTTCTCCCGTTTTGTAATCACTAGATTGTTTAGACACTCAGTTGAGAACCACTTGGAAAAGGATATGGATTTAAGTGTTCCCAAAAAAAAAAAAAACAAAAAACAAAAAACAAAATATAAACTAGTAACTTAGTGCTTATCTTAACGAGCAAAACAAGCTTACAGTGGAACTGTCTTCATCTTCAATTTGTCTTTTTGTTGGTTTATACAGACATTTAGTTATATCTCCAGATTCAACATAGCGCCATGCATCTTTCTTGGAACGGAATACATAACCATTCACTGGATCTGTATAGTACTGTAGAAATTGCAAACCAATCAGAACTTATTCACACATTAAGCACATCAGAAACTGTAAATACAGAATAGTGGGGTTGGGGATGGGTACAACGCATAAACAATACCAAACATTAAATCAAATTTCATACTGGGTCTTTCCTAATGCCACTGCCGTTCTTCCCAATCTTGACTTCTTTTATCCACCCAGGAGGTAAATCATCAGCTGCAGACTTCCCAGTTTCAACCTAAAGCATTCCAAAACTATTTAAAACAAAAGTACATGCCAAATAATAATTCAAGAAAATGAACTTCTAGTGATAATTGACAGACTACACAGCCAGTTCATTCCATGGTTGTTAAAAACGGGATTTGACTCATGGACTCGCATGCTTTCATGTTCTTACATATCTATACCTAGCACTGTTTTGAAAACAGGACCGGACCGGCCGATCAGACTGTCGACCGGTCTGGTTCAAAGAAAAAAACCGTTTTAAGAGTTGAGCCGTTTCGAACTGGCGGTTGGACCGGGAACCGGATCCGGTTTTCAAAAACCGGACTATTAAAAAAAAGCTTTTTTTTTATTTTTTATCAAATTTTTTTAAAAAAATGACTTATTTTTTTAATCATTTGATATTATATTGTATCGTATGGCTTGTTAGGTCATGATAAACTTAAAGTATTTGATTTTTTTAAATTAAATAGCAATTTCATATGTATTTCTTATATTTAAATTATTATATACATATATAATTTTTTTTAATTTAATTATTACGTCACTGGTCCAACCGGTTGAACCATGCGAATCGTGAACCGCTGACTTTTTCAGTTCAATGTCCGGTTCAGTTCTGAAAACATTGATACCTAGTTAACTCTTAAATAGAAATAGTAATGTACAAACTCAAAAAGAAACTTGCATAAAATCATAGTTACGAGGTGAAATCATCAATTTTTTGACGAGTTCACAAGTCGTGTATTTAACCTTCCTTATTCCTTTATCATCGTCAGACTTGTCACTGGAAGCCAATGGAGTGGCTCACTGTTGGCTGCTTTGGAATATTGCAACCCTTCACGGATGTTGCTCACTACTTATACTTATTACTAGAGGATGGTTGTGGGAATATTATGTCATTATTGTGAATAATTAGCATTTATTGTCATTATTAGGCTTTATTAGCATTTATTAGGTTTTACCTCACTTGATGTATATATATATATATAGCTTCAGTCTGTACATTAGAATATACATGAATGAGAAATACACTTTTTCTCTATCAAAATACCAGATGATATCAAAGCATTAGGCTCAAAAATTCAAATTTAGTTCAGGAATAGTTGGAATGAGACTTTCTAAACAATACGTGACGGCCTTTGTGTGGACAATGGTGAAGGGAGCTGTGAATCTCACTACCACCCTAGACATACTGAGGAGGCTCCGAACAACGAAACCTAGGATAGCAACGGCGAATAGTGGTGCGTGTGGACCACTGTTTTGAAAACCGAACCGGACCGGCCGGTCGGACCGTCAACCGATCTGGTTTCCGGTCTGGTTCAAAGGAAAAAACTGTTTTAAGAGTTGAGCCGATTTGAGCCATTTCGAACCGGTGGTCGGACCGGGAACCGGAATCAAGCCGGGAACCGGATCTAGTTTTCAATAACCGGACTATTCAAAAAAAAAACTTTTTTTTTTATTCTTTCTTAAATTTTTTAAAAAAATGACTAATTTTTTTAATCATTTGATATTATATTGTATCATATGGCTTGTTAGGTCATGATAAACTTAAAATATTTGATTTTTTTAAATTAAATAGCAATTTCATATGTATTTCTTATATTTAAATTATTATATACATATATAATTTTTTTTAATTTAATTATTACATCACCGGTTGGACCATTGGTCCAACTGGTTGAACCATGCGAACCGTGAACTACTGACTTTTCCGGTTCAATGTCCGGTCCGGTTCTAAAAACATTGGTGTGGACCACATGTGCCACCCTGTAAACTAGGTCAGCAAGCTTTCGGTGGCACGTGCGGCGAGTATTAGCTCCGTTCAGAACACAATCTCCTCAAAAGACAACAACACACTCTCTCCGGCTAGATCCAGGACAATCTGGCATATAGGTACATCGTTTTCGAACCATATCAATCCGTATGGTGTTGTTAGTGCCTTGTTTTGTTGAGTTTGGAGTTATATTAGGTTGTGGCTTCTATTTTCAGTCTATTATGAAGTCTTTTCCTTTTTTGAAGTGCTATGTATACTCCTCTGTAGTGTCGTGACTAATTTTTCCAGATCTGCAGCTATAGCATTAGTAGCAAAAAAGGGTCCCTTTCTTCAAGCTTTAAGGACAACTAGGAGTGCAGTGGTATGGATTGTGGATTCCGGGGCATCCGATCATATGACTAACTGTCATCAATTGTTCACCACTTACACCCCATGTGCTGGAAATGTTAAAGTGAAAATTGCAGATGATTCCTTAGCACCTATGGCAGGGAAAGGGAGCATCCATATATCAGATTCTATTGTTTTGGAATCTGTTCTCCATGTGCCAAAACTTGATTGCAAATTTCTTTCAATCAATCAATCGACTAAGCAACCAAATTGTTTTGCCAAATTTCTCCCATCCCATTGTGTGTTTTAAGACCTATCTTCTGGTACGACAATGGGTAGTGCTAAGGAGTATGAGGGGCTCTATTATTTAAAGGTCATTACTCAAGTGGAAACCTCACCTATTTTTAGTAACTCTGTGTCTACCTCTAACATTAATAATTTTATGTTATGGCGTAAGAGGATGAGTCATCCTAATTTTCATTACCTTCAACGATTGTTTCCAACCTTATGGCCCAACCTGAATTATAGTGAAATCCAGTGTGAGATGTGTGAACTTGCCAAACACCATCAAACTTCCTTTCCCAAAGCCAAATACACACCCACCAAACCTTTCACAATCATTCACAGTGACCAGTGGGGGCCATCTCGTACTCCAAACCGTACTCAAAGAAAATGGTTCATTTCCTTCATTGATGACCATACTCGTATTTGTTTGGGTTTACCTTTTAAAGAACAAGTCTGAGGCTGCATCCACATTCATGAGTTTCTTCACCATGATCAAAAAGTTTCTTCATCCACATTAAATACTAGCACCCAAGTCTAGCACAGTGATAATGGTACTAAGTGCTTCAACTAGTCTTTGAGTCATTTCCTCCAAATGCATGGTATTGTCCATACAAGTACTTGTGCCCACACCCCTCAACAAAAAAGGGTTGCAAAAAGAAAAAATAGACATATCCTTGAAGTTGCAAGAGCATTCATGTTCACTTGCAATGTGCCAAAGTTTTATTGAGGGGATGTCATTTTAACCACAACCTATCTCATCAATCAAATGCCCAATCGAATCTTATCCTTTAAAACTCCTCTCCAAAAATTGCAAAGTGTTTTTCCTACATCCCACATTGGAAACAAACTTCCGCTTCGAGTATTTGGTTGCACAACCTCTGTTCATATCCACTAAAACAGTAAACTCGAACCTCGAGCTATCAAGTGCATCTTTCTTGGCTATTCTCCTACTCAAAAAGGATACAAATGTTTTGATCCTGTTTCTAAACACACCCTTGTAAGCCTCAATGTTACCTTCCATGAAGAAACTCCCTTTTATTCCAATTCTTCAATTCAGGGGGAGAATATAGGTGAATCTCAGACTTCGGAACCAGCACCTTACACAGAATATGTACTTCTTAAGCCCTCACCAGAATCATTACCCTCACCATCTTTTCCATCAAACACCCCACCTTTACCAACCTCTTCTCTTATGCCAAAGTTTGGAGAAAACAAGAAAACAGAGAGAGATGTAGAAAGACCACAAAAGGAAGAGTCATTGGTTTATACTCAAAAGAAGAAATCAAAAGATAGTAAGCAACTTGTATCTAAGGCATCAAGAGAGTCAGAACCAGAGGTAGTTCTTAAAGCTGAAGTACCAAGGACTAATCCATCTAGTAAGCCAAATGATTCAGAACAAGGAAGTGAATCTGCTGAACTTGATCTTCCTATTGCTCTCTGGAAACCACCTCGAACTTGTACCTTACATCCGATTCAAAAGCATGTATGCTACAAGACTCTCTCTCCTAGTTATTGGGCCTTCATCACTAATTTGGATAAAATTGTTATTCCTAACAACATCCAAAAGGCACTGGAAATACCAGAATAGAGAAATGCAGTTATAGAGGAAATGAAACCTTTGGAGAAAAATGAAACACAGAGATTGTTGAGAGACCTAAAGGTAAGAAATTAATTAGTTGCAAGTGGGTCTTTATCCCAAAGTATAAGGCTGATAGCACACTTGACAAGTTAAAGGCACGATTAATAACAAGGGGTTTCACCCAAACATATGGTATAGACTACAACAAAATGTTTGTACCAATGGCAAAACTATATACTATCAGAATTCTATTGTCAGTAGTAGCCAACCTTGAATGGAAACTTCATCAACTAGATATCAAGAATACCTTTCTAAACGGAGAATTGAAGGAATAAGTCTACATGACTCTAACTCTAGGGTTTGATAGAAGCAGAAGTGACAAAGTATGTTGGCTAAAAAAATCTCTATATGGCTTGAAACAGTCACCTAGAGCATGGTTTGACAAGTTCTCAAAGGTCCTAAAGTTAGGTTACAAACAAGGATTATTAGATCATACGATGTTTGCTAAGGCTAAGGGAGCGAAGAAGTGCATCCTTATTGTGTATGTAGATTATATAATTCTTACATGAGATCATGTTAAGAAAATAGCAAGGATAAAGACTATCCTTGGTAAGGAATTTAAAGTCAAGGATCTCAAGAACTTGAAGTATTTTCTTAGAATGGAAGTTGCAAGGTCAAAACGAGGCATATATATATATCTCAGAGGAAGTACGTACTTGTCTTCTTAAGGAAACTGGCATGTTAGGCTGTAAATCTAAAGAAACTCCTATTATGGTCTCAAGAAAGAAGCAACCTGAGAAAAACAGTAAGGAGGAGTTAGAAGGAGAAGAAAACTCTGATAATGAGGTTAAAGAAGACAACGACAATGAAGAAGAAGAAACGGTTGATAAAGACAGATATCAGAGATTAGTTAGAAAGTTCATTTATCTATCCATTACAAGGCCAAATATTGCTTTTGTGGTCAATATAGCAAGTCAATACAAGTGTGATCCAAGGAAGAAACACCTGGAAGCTGTATACAAGATTCTCAAATACCTTAAAGGTACACCTGGTAAGGGATTGCTATTCAAGAAGCATGATCAGAGGACGATTGAGATATATACAGATGCAAATTGAGAAGGGGACCAATGGAGACAGGAGATCCACCTCTAGCTATTGTTCGTTTGTGTGGGGAAACCTAGTGAGTTGGAAAAGTCAAAAACAAAGAGTTGTATCTAGAAGTAATGCTGAATCAAAATTGAGAGCATTAGCTCAAGCAATCACAGAAGAACTATGGATAAGAAGGGTCATGGAAGAAATACAGGTCAAAATTGATCTACCAATGAAGTTGTATTGTGACAATAAAGGCTGCCATATGCATGGCATTGAATTTTGTACAACACGAGAGATCTAAGCATGTTGAGGTGGATAGGCATTTTATTAGAGAGAGAGTAGAGAAAGACATTGTATGTTTGACATACCTACCTACCAAGTTACAAGCTACTGATGTGCTCACCAAAGGACTACCTAAGCCTACCTTAGTTGTATAAGCAAGTTGGACATGATTAGCATTTATGAATACTGATGTGCTCACCAAAGGACTACCTAAGCCTACCATAGTATGGGAATATTATGTCATTATTGTGAATAATTAGCATTTATTGTCATGATTAGACTTTATTAGCATTTATTAGGTTGTACCTCACTTGATGTGCATACATAGCTTCAGTTTGTACATCAGAATACACATAAATGAGAAATACACTTCTTCTCTCTCAAAATACCACAATGATATACACTATGGCTACTGTGTGATACGTGCAATACATTAATCCTCCCTCACAAGCTTTGTTCATACAAGAATAAGCAATAAAAAAAAACAAAGAAAATTGGGTAAACATACATGTGGCAATGAGACATCTTGTGATCTTCTTTTGATGATTTATGTTACTTTTAGAATCCGTTAATTAGCCTTAATAATAGATTAGTGAGTTCTATTGAGCAAATAATAAAATATTAGATTTATTATTGTAGAAACCGAGAGTTGAAGAAGCTTGTGTATTATCAAGACTCGTCAGCAGAATGCATCCAGCAGAGGCCAACTTTGGTCCAGAAAATAGGCATATGATATAGGGAATAAAATCAAATACATACTACCTAATTAAAACAGAATAAAGATATTTACAAATTAAATCTTTGATTTCCATGCTCCCCTCAAGTTGAATCATAGGATATTAATCATGTCTGACTTTCATTACTTATCTTGTCCATTCCCATCCCTTTATTCAATAAATAATCCTGACATAAACTATGAGTGTGAAAACTAGCCAAGCACTACAAAACATCATTCCACAAAGCACCATTTACACCAACCAAATCTTGCGCTACTATCCATGGTGACATGATGGACCTTTGTTACTATCCATAGTAACATGTGGGAACCATCCCGTACTCCAAACTATACCAAAACAAAATGGTCCATTACCTTCATAGATGGTCACATTCGCCTTTGTTAGGTTTTTCTCTTAAAAGAAAGGCAAGGAACATCTGTTTCTGAATTTATTCACCATGATAAAAAAAAAAAATTAGTTCAATACAAACACCCAAGTCTTGCACATTGACAATGGTACTAAATACTTCAACTAAACTTCTCTTCTACTACACAATACTGTCTATAAAAGTAATCATGCCAATACACAAAATAGGGTTGCAAAGGGAAAAATAGAGGCATTATCAAAGTTGCTAGAGTACTCGTTTACATACAATGTGCCAAAGTTCTATTGGGGCATATCATGTTAACAGCGACGTATCAACTAAATGCCAAGTGGAGTCTTATCCTCTGATACTCCCCTTAAATGATTACAAAGTGTCTTTCCCAAATTACATCTTGAATCCAATATTCTTCTTCATGTGTTTGGCTACACTTCTGTTCATATCCACCATAGCAATACACTTGAACTTGATACCATGTAATGTGTAGTTCTTGGATATTCCACTACTTAGAAGGGGTTCAAAATCTTTGACCCATTTTCAAAACACACTTTTTATCAGCCTCAATGCTAGAGGGACACTTTTTTCAACTTAATTCACTAGCCAGAACTTAGTTCTAATCTCAAACATTTGTGACGTATTCTCACCATTTGAATAGGCTTCACAAACTGCTTTCCATATCTCATAAGCTATAGGGGGAGACATGAAGCTCCTTTTTATGGTAGGTTGTCGAATTGACAAGACAAGACGAAACCGTGGAATTTTTGAACTCGTACAGTTTCAAAGCCTTGTTCAAAACCTCGAGCACTAATCCTACCAAAGATGCATCCTTGTTTTCCACAACCTTTATTCGCAAGCTTCATGGATTCAACCCACTCTCTGCAATTCTCACTAGAGAGCTTGTCTAGAATAATGGCGACCACCAATCCCTCTACGCCAATAGCAATGAGTGTGTTGCAAACCTAACAAAAATTAGAAGTAAAGGATCCCTCAAGGCCAAACAATGCATGGTTAGATACTACATATCGAATGTATCGAACTCCCCCTAACTCTGATACTACGTAGAAACTAGGATTTGAAGATGCTTGTGTATTACTAAGACTTATCAACAAAGTATATAGAAAAGCCAAAACCTTTAGGCCAATAAAATAAGGATATGATAAAACAAAAAGTCTTATCCCACAAGTGAAATTGGCTACATAAATTGCACGACATCATTATATTCTATCAACAACAAATCTCAAGCAATATTACTAGCCAAAATATGCTTCTCAATAATTTCATTTAGAAATACGGCATTTATATTTGTGAAAACCAAATATTTAATTTGTAACTATTAGTCTTTATTATATTTTTATTATACAAGATTGATATAATTTTGTTCCCTATATCAGAAATCAAATATTTATTGTCTATATAGGTCTTTATTCTTTTTTCATTAGATAAGATTGATATGATTGAGATTATTAGATATTAAATATACAACAACAACAAGCCTTATCCCACAATTAAATATTAAATATATTTTAATAAATTTGATTTACTAGATATTATTTAGTTTCACATTAAAATATCTATTTATATGTTTAAAATAACAAAATAATTACATGTTGATTATATTATTTAATTACTTAATATATATGCCATCTCGACAATATGATTATATTTTTTTATTTATTTTATTAATAGACAATAAACTATTACAATTTTACATTTCTAGTTAATATTACCAGTTTATCCTTCCTTGACAAGTTTGGTAACCTTGGAATTCAATGATCATTGATCAATCTTATGAAAAGAGGGGGAAATATCGAACATCAAATGAAATATCATACCATATCTTTTGTAATCATCTCAGCTTCTTGTGTAGACCCAGGTTGTAAATCATCCACTGTAGAATTCTCAAGCACAACCTAAAATACCCAAAACAATCATAAAAATGCATACCAAAAGCATTTACCAAATATAACTTCTAGTAAAATTCAATAAAATTAATAAATGGTTAAGCAACAATCAATATTAAGAAAAGAAAGAGATATCAGGCTAGGATATTAGCAAAAAGATCATCAAATCATCTATGGTAGATATAGAAACTAAAATTAGAAGCATGCTATTATTCTGAAGACCAAAAAAAAAATAGAAATTGCTGATCTAATTGAAGAATCAATCTTTTCCCCTTTTGTGATCATTCATTTGTTAGGACTTAGGGATTCAAATTGTCAAAGGAATATGAATTAGAATAATCAATGCAACAACAAAAAGCCTTATCCCACTAGGCGGGGTCGGTTACACAGATTGTACGATGTCATTGTAATCTATCATATACCAAGCTTTTAAAAATGTTCACTAAAAAATCTTGATCAACAACTTCCAAAAGTGTTATCTTTAAACTTCATTTACCCCTCTTGACAAAACTCAATATTATTCGTTTCACTCTCCTCATCAGTGCCTCCCATAGTAGTCTTTATACATGTCCAAACCATCTCAAACAATCTTCTACTGTTTTTCCCTCAATAGGTGCTACGCCTGCTTTTTCACGCATGTGCTCATTTCCTATTCTATCTTTACATGTATGTCCACACATCCATCTCAACATTCCTATCTCTACTACTCCACCTCTATACTCTATTTGTCCTGTTAGAGCCCAACATTCCCTACCATATAATATAGCTAATCTTATAGTAGTACGATAAAACTTTTCTTTAAGTTTATTAGGTGCATTACAATTACAAATAACTCCTTCATTTTTTCCCCAATTAAACCACCCATCTTATATCTTATGTATAATATCCCCTTTAATTTTCCTATCATGTTAAATAATAGCTCCTAAGGTTTCCATCTGAGTAGGAGTAAAACAGAATATTTACATTATATTTTTTATAAGAGGTCAGTGAGTAATAACTTGGAAGTGAAATTAGGTGATTAAACCATACGTCAAGTGACAAAGTTTAGATATTTGGGAACGATTATTCAACAGAATGGGGAAATTGATGGAGATATTGCACATAGGATACAAGCGAGGTGGTTTAATTGGAGAAAAACTAAAGGAGTTATCTACAATCGTAAGGTACCTAATAAGCCTAAAGAAAAGTTTTATCGAACTGCTATAAAACCAACAATTTTATATGGTGGTGAATGTTGAGCTTTGACGGGATAACAAGAACATAAAATTAGACTAATTACACTCACAACAAATGCTATGTCAGGCCTTGTGTGTGAGAGGTAGATAAACTTCCCAACAAGCCTTTGATATCTCTCTTTGTCAACTAGCTTTTCTTTTTCCCTATCTTCCTCTTCCTCAGCTGTGTTGTCTTCTTCCTTAGAATTGCCCTTTTCCTTCTTCAATTTTTGCTTCCTTTTTACAACAACAAGAGTTTCAAATAGTTTACACCCTAGCATACCTGTCTCTTTTAAGAGACCAAGTACATACTTTCTTTGAGATACATAAATACCCTGTTTTGATCTGCCAACCTCCATGCCTGGGAAATACTTCAGACGTCCAAGGTCCTTGACCTTGAATTCTCTTCCCAGAGAAGCTTTCACTCATGTTATTTCTTCATTGTGATTACCAGAAATAATTATATCATCAATATATACAATGAGAATACACCTCTTACCTCTCTCTACTTTGACAAATATGGTATGATTCGATAGTCCTTTTTGGTAGCCTTGTAATTTTAAGACCTTTGAGAATATATCGAACCAAGCTCGTGGGGACTGCTTTAGACCGTATAAAGAGTTCTTTAATTTGCATACCTGGTCAACCCTTCCCTTAGTGAAGCCAGGGGGCAAGGTCATATAAACTTCTTTTAATTCTCCATTCAAAAAAGCATTTTTGATATCCAGTGGGTGTAATGGCCATTCAAGGTTGGCTGCTATAGATAGCAATACCCGGATAGTATTCAATTTTGTCACTGGTGCAGAAGTTTCCTAGTAATCGACGCCATAAGTCTGTGTGAACCCTCTAGCCACCAATCGATCCTTCAACTTACCAAGCCTCCCATCAGCCTTATATTTCGAGGTAAAAACCCATTTGCAACTTACTAGCTTCTTGTTCCTCGGCTTATGCACAATCTCCCAAGTCCCATTTTCTTCTAATGCTTTCATTTCTTCTAGGACGACCTCTCTCCATCCCCTTGTTTTTAGGGCCTCATAGATGTTATTAGGAATGCTAACATCATCCACATTAGCAATAAATGCTCGGTAACTAGGAGACAAGGCTTCATATGACAAGTATTTTTGAATGGGATGTTGTGTACAAGATCGAGGTTTCTTCCTAAGGGCAATTGGCAATTCCAGATCATCTTCTGAGATCTTCTCCATATCAAGATTTTCATCAATCCTCTCCCCTTTCTTTCCAAGACTTTCTTTCCTAGAATCTCCCACCGGTTCTAATTCTGGTACTGCCTCAGGTATGATAGCCTTTATACCCTGTTTCATCTTCTGTGTGTAAACTTTGATCCCTTTACCCTTAGTACCTACATCCTTGTCTCCCCCTGAACTTGCATTTTCTTTTGCTTCTAGCATAAAAGATATAGGTACAAGATCAAGAGGAATATCAAGAGGAGAATGGTTAAGAGAGTCAATAGGAGAATACTCACAGTTAGGAGTCAACTAAAGTTCACTCCAACTCTCCCCCTGAATTGAAGGAGACGGATAAAAGGACTCATGTTCAAAGAAAGTGACATCATGGCTAACAAAAAAATGCTTGGACGAAGGATCAAAGCATTTATAGCCTTTCTGGGTGGAAGAGTAACCCAAGAACACACACTTGACAGCTTAAGGCTCAAGTTTGGTGGATGAATGGAGATGAACAAAGGCAAAGCATCCAAAAACTTTCAAAGGAAGATTGGTCTCAAGATGAGAAAGAGTGTGTTTGGCACAAACACTCAAGTGGAGTAGAATGGGACAATATTTTACTAGGCATACAATTAATGAGGTAAGTGGTAGTAAGAATGGCATCTCCCTAGAAGTATTTAGGTACATTTGTGGTAAACAAAAGGAAACAAGCAACTTCAAGTAAATGTCTGTTTTTCCGTTCAGCCACCCCATTTTGTTGAGGGCTGTTAGCATGAGAGGTCTTATGAATGATTCCCTTAGACTTAAAAAGTCATTCAAGGACTTATTAACAAATTCAATGCCGTTATCAATTTGGAGAATTTTAATAGATGTGTGAAATTGGTTCAACATCATTGTAAAGAATTTGATGAAAATAGATGTCATATCAGACTTATCTTTCATTAGATATACCCAGCACACACGATTATGGTCATCAATAAAGGTGACTAACCACTTGGCATGGGTTCTATTAGGAACACAAGAAGGACCCCACACATCACTTTGAACGATAGAAAAAGGTTGAGGGCTTATATTCAAAGCACGAAAACGAAGATTAATGATGTTTGGCTAACTCACAAATATCACAATGAAAACTAGAAATTTTATTAGATGAAAAATGAGGAAACAAACTACTCAAGTAGTGGACATTGGGATGACCCATTCATTAATGCCACAACAAAAGATCAACATTTTCAAAGGTAGATGCAAGGTTGCAGCGGATATAAGACCAGAGATTACTCACGGTTGACTTGTCCAAGTAGTAGAGTCCATCACACTCCTCAGCATTCCCAATCATCTCGATGAAGGATCCTGGAAAATACAATGAGCGGAAAAAAATTTGAGCACTACAATGAGCCTGTTTAGTCAACTTGCTTATAGACAACAAATTACAAGCAAGATAGGGAGCATGAAGGACAGAATCCAACTGTAAAAATTCAGACATAGTAATACTGCCCTTTCTAACTATAGTAGAAAAGGTGCCATTAGTTGTATCAATTTTCTCACACCCACTACATGGAACATATGATGCCAATAATGTAGAATCCACAGTCATGAACAATCCATTTAGACTTAGAGGAGTAGACATTGAACGCATAATGAGAATTACCTTTCTTAGCCACTGAAGCATTATATGATAGAGAGGATGACTAGATGGATTGTAAAGATTGAAGCATTTCCATGAGCTTGTTTAACTGGTCCTTATCAACAGCTAGTAAAGAAGTAAGTTTGCCTTGTATAGACTCAGATGTAGCCCGGTAACCATGACACTTACCTTTATGAGGTTTCTAGTTAGGGGCTTCCCATGAAGATCCCAACACTTATCTTTCGAGTGGCTAGTCTTCTTACAATGGTCAAAAACAATTTGCCTTTTGCATCTTTTTGTCCCTGATCAGAATGCCTGCTTACCAAAGCAGAAGATTCAGATGAAGGAGGAACAGAAGAAGGAGTAGGTAACATCATCTTACGACGAGAAGCCTCTCGATAAACTTCAGCAAAAGCATCACGAGTTGATGGTAATGGGGAGCGAGCCAATATGCGACTTCAAACATCATCTAGTGAGTGATGAATGCCAGCCAAGAACTGAAAAACCTGCTCATCTTCAATACAACGCTTGTACCTTACTGCATCATTGGAATAGGACCATACCTCTTCTGTGTTGAGATCAATTTCTTGCCATATAGCAACTAGGTCCAAATAGAATTCTGTTACCTCTCATTCGCCTTGTTTGATCTGCCAAGTTCATGTCTTCAAATCATAAAGACGTGCACCATCTTCACCATCCAAATATGACTCCTTAACTGCTTCCCAGATATCTCGTGCCGTTGGAAGAAACATGAAGGAGCGTCGAATTTATGGTGTCATAGCATTAATCAGCCATGAAGCTACCTTAGAATTATCAATCTCCCACGTCACCATAGCCTTCGAGTCTAATGCATCTGGAACCTCAGAGTAGCCAGTGATTAAACCCAGCTTGCCTTATCTGCCAATAGCAAGTCTGATTGACTGGGCCCATTCTCAATAGTTGCAGCCATTGAATTTTTCTGAGATGAGAAGAGTAGAGGTCCCTTCGGCAGAACTCAACCCTTGGGAAGTTCCACCATATGGATTAATATTTGAGTCAATTTCTATGCCAAAACCAATACCCATAGTTGGAAGCTGTGGAACACACGAGTCTGAACCTCGGTGTGATACGATTCTACTGATGGAATCTAAAGAGAGAGAGACGCACAGTGCGAGGAAAAAAACTAACATTGACCACACCAAAGAATACTAATGAATATACGTTCTCATGCGTCGTGACTCGAGAATGTCACGCCAAGAGAAGCCGCTCACGGATGCTCGCAGAAGACTGCTGACCAACGTGCAGCTCTAGACTCATTGTGCAACTCTAGACCCTGGCATGTTGTGCGACGCCTGTCATGCCAGTGCAGAACGCCCAAAATCGAACTTAGTGGAATCAACATGCACGCTATCATGTGACTCTGTAAACCTCGACTGATTGAATTGGCTCCGATGCCATGTAGTTTGGAATTTCTCAAGAGCGTGTATATTATTCACAAATGCACTATACATATATAGTTTACAAATAACAACTATAAAGGAAATAAAATCAAATCAAGAATAAAATATTAACTCCTATGATCTCATCTAATTATATCCCTATGTTTAAGGAATAAATCTTTCTAGTATATTAAATATAAGTTTGACTATTCTCACAAAACCAATTCAAATTCTGATTGAAAATGGAAATGGCCATGACTTCCTAGATTATGAATTGGCAAAGAAGATGGGATGGAACAAGAAAATGATTGGGCAGATGCAATGATAGCTAGAGCATAAAGATTGAAAGTTTATGGTGTTTGGAAAGTGTTCAAATGGAGAATGCAAGGTGTGGAGTTCTCTAGAGATTTAAGAGTCCTGAATATGATAAATAATGACATTGTTTTTGGCTAGAAAAGGCTCAAAAGTCTTCATTACGCTTTTTGGAATTATGACTCTTAATGGAAGGATGGGTGTTTTGCAGGCACAACCTCAAATGGAATGGCATATGGTTAGCTAGAAAAGAATATGAGAAATTATGACATAATTTAGGAATAGAAATGGCTTAAAAGTTTTCATTATACTATTTGGGATTATGGAGCAAGTCGTAAACATTGGCTTAATGGTGATACAACACCAGCTTTCACACTTCAACTAAAGCAACACCATATAAATTGCTTTATGTTCAGAAGCCATCCATTTAGACTCCTCACTAGCCTAGGCAAGCGATAGTGGAAGTAGATAAAAGCTTTAAAGCAAGAGAACGCATGATTGGGGTATTAAAGCATCACTTAAGAAGTGAAGCAAATCATATGAAATATAACGCTGATTTGAAGAGGCCTGATTGTGAATTTGAAATAGGGCAGTGGGTTTTTTGAAACTACAACCCTATAGACAGATCTCAATTGCCTCTTGAAGCACCCAAAAGCTAACACCAAGATACTTTGGACCATATAAGGTGATAGGAAGAGTAAAGAAGGTCCCCTACAAGCTGCAATTACCTTGTGTCCAGGATTCATGCAACCTTCCATGTATCATTACACAAGCTATGTCCAAATCCTTCAGTTAAACAGAGACATCCCCCATAAGATTGGCCGGAAGTCCCAGCAGCGTTAGTTCCTAAGAAAATATTAAATAAAAGGGTAGGAAGAAAGAAAAGCAGGATCATTGCTGAAATTTTGATCCAATGAGGAAGATACCTGGATGTCACAGTCCAGTTATCAGAAGCAATTTCCAAATTTTCCCATTCCTACCTTGAGGACGAGGGTTGTTTAAGGGGGGTTATTGATATGTAAATAATATATATAATAAGAGTTAGCTGGGTTTTAGTAATTATGACAGTTAAGGCTCCTAGTCTATAAATAAGATGTTTAGACCTAGATGTATGCTATGCTGTTATTCACAATGTCTGAGCACTATTCAGTTCTCTGTTTATCATATCCCTCTCTTTCTTCCCCTCTCTCTATCATATCAGTCTTCAATTTTAATTTGTCTTTTATTTGGCTCAAACGAACATGTGCTTATATCTCCTGACTCAATACAGAGCAATCCATCCTGCTTGGAATAATGTTCATTCACTGTATCTGTATACCGCTGTGGGAATTACAAAACAATCAGAAATTCAGAATTCATTAGCATACAGTAATGCACTGTATCACACACAATTCTAAATTGACGAAATTGCATGCAAATCACCTCCCCTAAAGAGGAAAAAGAAAGAAAAATGCATAAATATTCATAACTTTTATATTTGTCACATTAAAGTTCCTTTTGATTTGCTGGGACAGGGTTTAAAATATCACAAGTCTCAAACATGAAACGAAATTCCATACTTGCTCTTTTCTAATGCCATTGTTGTTTTTCCTAATTTTGACTTCTTTTGTCTGTCCAGTTGCTAAATCATCCACCATAGACTCGTCAACTGCAACCTAAAAAATACCAAACACTATTAAAAAAAAAAAAAAAAAGCTAAGCAAATTCTTAAAAAGAAAAACTACTAGGTAACATCCAACAAACTAGATAGATGCTCATCCAATAATCAATATTAGGGGAAACAATCAAATTTCATAATTTGGACGGACTGACAACTGCCTAGCTTACTTGAGAGGTGAGGAGGGGAAGCAGTAAAACACTAACAATTTCAAACATAAAATAAAATGTCATACTAGGTCATTCTTAATGACAGTGCCGTTCTTCCCAATCTCAATTTCTTTTGTTGACCCATGCAGCGAATTGTCCACCGTAGACTTCTCAACTGCAACCTAAAGCATACAAAACTATAAAAGCCTATATAATACATACTTGAAAAAGTAAAAGATAATTTTGAACAAGATAGACCAAAGAAGAGTCATATTTTCATTCACATGGAGGACAAAACATAAATATAGCTTAGAGAGAGCACTTGGTCGAAATAATAGGGATCTACTAGGATTTACAGTATCTGGCAAGTAAAAAATAAAATATCTACAGTATCCTAGACAATTAAACATTTACAAATAAGGATAAGTAAATTAAATTCTAAAATCTTAAATATTTACACGCTCCTCATGTTGGGTCATAGATATTGGTCATGTCCAACTTGCTCACAATCTTCAAATTCCACTTTTTAGGGAACCTTTGTTAATATATCAGCTATTTCATTCCTTCTTGGTGCATAAGGGATGCATGCAAACAATGTCTTCTTGTATTTTATCTTTGATGAAGTGTTTGTCAACTTCCACAAACTTAGTTCTATCATGCTGAACAGGATTATAGGAGATGTTCATGGCTGCATTATTAACACAATAGGGCTTGATAGGAGAATCTAATGGAATATGCAACTCTCCAAGCACTCTTAAGCCACAATCCTTCACAAATGCCTTGTGCAACAGATCTGAATTTGGCTTCAGCACAACTTACGGCTAATATATTCTATTTTTTGCTTCTCCAGGTAACTAGACTTCTCCCCACAAACGGTCACCCTCGCTATCTTCAAGTGGGCCTACCTAATCCGCATCAGTATAAACTTGAATGTGGGTCTGATTTATCTTTTAAAGCTAGAGGCCTTGTCCTAGGGTGCTTTTCAAACACTTTAGAATCCTACGCACAACCTCAAGATGCCTCTATTTAGGACACAGAAAGTGTTGACTTAATACACTTACAGCAAAGTAATATCTAGTGTCGTGGGAAAGACATGAGTTTCCCCACAAGTCACTGATACCCTTCTTTATCAACTAGCTTCCCATCATTTTCCTAGTGTTCGAAAAGTTTTGGTTACAAATAGAGATATTAAAGACAAATTGGAGGACTTAACTCGAGAAGAATAGAATTTGATGCCTTATCATAGGATTTGAGATAGCAAGATTAAAGATGCTCTTAAGAAAATGAAAAATGGTACAACCACTAGACCTAATAGAATCCCTATTGAAATGTGAAAATGTTTGGGTGAAGAGAGGATATTGTGACAAAGCTATTTAGTAAGATTTTACAGTCTAAGAAGATGCCTAATGAATAAAGGAGAAGCACTTTAACTCTCATTTACAAGAATAAAAAGGATATTCAAAATTGTGCAAACTACAAAAGGATAAAGCTTGTGAGCCATCCAATAAAATTACAGGGAAGAGTAATTGAACATAAGTTAAGGTTGGAGACTGATATTTTTGAGACCAATTTGGCTCATGTAGGAAAGGGCTTCAATAAATGTGATACATCTACTGAGGAAATTAAACGAAAAGTATCGAAACAAAGATAGAGATTTACACATGGTTTCCATTGATTTGAAGATAACTTATAATCACATATCAAGAAAAGCACTTTGGAAAGCCTTCAAAAAGGAAGAAGTTTGGGTTACTATATCAAAGCTATACAAGATATGTAAAAAGGGCAACTAGTATAAAAATATCTAGAAATGAGATAAAGCCGTTACTTATTTGACCTTACTTTAGATGTTCTGATTGAATATATCCCAGAAAATCCCCAAATGCATGCATTTTGTAGATGAATTATGGAAAAGAACCTTGGAGTCGAAAGGTTTCTACCTATGTAAGTGTAAAAAAAATAAATAAATAAATAAATGTATTTTAATTTTGATAAGAGGCCAATTAGTATTAATTTAGAAGTGAGCTTGAGAAATTAGATCATACCACAAGGAAAAAATGCAGAAATATGGGAGCAATTATTCAAAACAATAGTGAAATTGATGGGGATGCTACACATATAGATAACAACTAGGTGATTCAAATAAAGAAAGGCAACAAGAGTGATTTATGATTCGGAAGGTACCAAACAAGCTTAAAAAGAAGTTTTATTGAACTACTATACAACCAACCATTTTATACGGTAGCAAACATTGAGCTTTAAAAGGGACAACATAATGTTGGAATAGTATAAATGAGAATGTTGAGATAGATGTGTGGACATACACAAAAAGACAAAATCCACATTGAACATAAATGATACAAAATAGTTTGAGATGGTTTTAGACATAAGCTTTATGAAGAGGGGAGGAGAAAAACCAAAGAAAACACTCAAAGAAGTTGTTGACCGAGACTTTTGATTAACAACATACCAAAAAGCTTGATTGTTAATAAAACACAACAGCATCATGCAATTTATATAGCTAGCCCCACTTAGTGGGACAAGGCTACTTGTTCTTATTGTTGCACCTAAATTAGGGGTGTCACACGACTTGTTTTCCTTCTTCATAGTCACTATAGAAGTGTCATTTGGCTTGCATCCTAGCATGCTATTTCTTTAAGCAACTGAGAATATATTTCCTTTAAGATGCATAAATTCTCTTCTTTGATCTAGCCACTTCCAATCACAAGAAATATTTCATTTCTCCTCAAGTCTTTTACTTCAAATTCTCTTACAAATGCCACTTTTAGTCTTTCCATCTCCTCCAAACTTCGGGAATAAAATATCAACATAAACAATCAAAATTGTTTTCTTACCCTCTCAATGTCTAAAGAAGATTGTGTGATCTATTTGCCCATGTGTGTAACCTTCAATCATGCATACTTGAGTAAATCTTTCAAACCAAGCCCCAAGAGATTGCTTTTCTTTAATTCACATATGGATTTTTTTTTTTTAAGTCTGCAAACCTAATTACTACCTCCTCTAGTAAAACTGGGAGGAAGTGTCCAATACATTTCCACCTTTAAGTTGCCATCCAAGATGGCATTTTCACATCAAATTGATAGAGAGGCCAAGCTATATTAGCAACCAAGGACAAGAGGATTCTAGCAATATTCAGCATTGCAATTGGTGCAAATGTTTCTGTGTAGCCTTTTCCATGAGTCTAAGTAAAGCCCTTCTC